TCTTTCTTTCTTTCTTTCTTTCTTTCTTTCTTTCTTTCTTTCTTTCTTTCTTTCTTTATTTATTTATGACTTATATACCGCTTCATAGGGCTTTCAGCCCCCTCTAAGTGGTTTACAGAGTCAGCATATCGCCCCCACAGTCTGGGTCCTCAGTTACTAGCACTGATGATGTTACCTGGTCTGAGTAATGAAACGTCTGTAAGAAAAAAAAGCAAGCTCAGAGAGCACCAAGGACCCCTTATAATGTGGCCTTCTTCTCATCTCTAACCGGAGGCAACCGAAAGTTCTCCTTAGCTATGCCAATGTTAAAGCCATACTTTCTCGTTTGGGCAGGCAACAAGGCATGATGGTTTTATCACAGGTGGAGTCTGATGTTCTTTAGTTATCATGTGGTGGATGCCATGGTCAGGTGACTGCGGCACATTGGCCTAGTGGTGAAGATGTTCACCTCCCACTCAGAAGGTTGAGAGTTCAATCCTAGAGAGCGGCTGATTTGATGGTGTGCATCGTCACCACTGGGGGTGGGGATTGTTGTTTTTCATTTTCTATTTTCTATACTGTGTTTTTACTGCTTCTAAGCCACCTAGAGTCACTGTGAGCAAGTAGGCGGCCATATAAATTACCCAAATATGAATACTGAAGAATGAGTGAAGATAAATAGATTAAGAAATGGGAAATACCATTCTACATCAGCATAAAATGGACAAACGTGGCACTTTGATCTGTCCTCAGTTAACTTTGATGCCATACTAGACATTGTTTTGTAGAGCGTAGTCTAAGCCAGAGACACTGAAATACTGTTTGTAACACTCCCTGCTTTGGGGAGCCTAATGGTGTTTCTAATGAGTTGTTCACATATTATGGCCAATCTATAATTACTGCTGAGCTTGGTTTGTTTGTTTTCCTAATGAAATCTGAGAATTGGGTATTCTAAGACACAGTTTGTATCAATTCCCAAAATTCAGCTATTACTGTACATTGGAAGTTGCAGGTTTGTTGACCGAAAATGGTCACGTTTGCTCCCATTAGGGAGAAAGCATCTTGTCTGAGCAGATTAATTACCACCCAATTAAGAAGCCTTTGGAGAGTGGGATAATAAGTGCATACGGATTTAGAATCTGAGTGGGTAGAATCCCCCTCAGCACTGCTCTGAGACAGGACGTTGATACCTAAAGCCAAGGCCTTAAACATACAACAGCAGTAGTGGTGGGATCCTACCGGTTTAACAACCAGTATGGTAATCGTGTGTTTCGCTGCGTGTGCGTGCACAGTTTTACCAAAACTTGCCTTCCACGTTACTTCTTGGGGAGTAACACAGCTGAGGCATGGCAGTCTGCTCTGGCGTGCTAATCAGCTGAGAGGATATAGGTACCGTATTTTTCGGAGTATAGGACGCCCCTTCCCCCCCCCCCCAAAAAAAGAGGGTGAAAATCTGGGTATGTCTTATATACTGAATACAGCATTTTTGGCCTCTCGGAACTCCACCCCTGCGCATCCCGTTTTTTGCAAATAAGAACGTGCAGAGGGTTTGGGAGGCCTGCAAAGTGCTCCTGGGGGCTGGGGAGGGCAAAAACAAGCAAAAAATGGCCGTTTTTTGCTTGTTTTTGCCCCCCCCCCCAGCCCCCAGGAGCACTT